AAGCGTGACAACACAAGGGAAGTGTCCAGAGATGGCCAGGCCCAGGAGAGAGAGATGGAAAACAGGTGTTGTTACCAGCGGGCCTTAGAGAGGAAGTAGGTCAGAGCTAGGCTTTAAAGGGCAGACAGAAGGTCCTGGGCCAAGAGGAAGAAGAGGAGGAAGAGAGCTAGCAAACCACTTCACAAACATTATCCTCACAGCAACTGGGGGGGGGGGGATGGGCCGCAGGGGCAGGTGCTATTATTATGCCCATTTTACAGATGAGGAAACAGAAGTTGACATGGGTTAGGTGACTTGCCCAAGATTGCTGCCTTGGGCCACACAGCTGCCAAGTGATGAAGGCTAGACTTGAACTCCGGTCTTCTGGACACCAGGCCGTCCAGTGCTCCGTGCGCTGTGCCAGAGACCTGGCAGCACGAAGACCCCAGCCACGTGCCCAGGCCAGCAGGCCGTCCATTTCAGCTGGAACACGGAGGAAGCAGCATGAGAGGAGGCAGAAACCGCACCAGGTTGCAGATTGCGGGAGATAAACATGCCTCAGTCAGCAGTGAGTCAGTAAGCCAACCACCAGCCTTCGTGAAGCACCTACTGTATGCAGGGCGCTGTGCTAAGTGCCTGGAATGCAAAGAAAGGCGAAAGCCAGTCCTCATCCTCAAGGTGCTGACAACAAGTAAAAACCAGGCGCATCCAAAGGAATGCGGAGTGGATGGAAGGACCCGAGGGGGAGCCAGAGAAAGGCCTCCGGGTGAGGCCAGAGATACGCCGGCTCTTGCCGGGTCTCACAGGGAATCGAGGAAGCATTCTGGGTGGGCGAGCCTGTGCCTAGGCTGGAGACGGGGAGGCAGCACCTTGTTCAAGGAGTCCCAACCAGGCTGGGGCTGGGGAGCCCTGAACACAGGGAAGAGAAGGCACAAGAAAGCTGGGAAGGGAGGAAGAGGCTGGGGACGGGCAAGCCCAATGCCAGCGTTCGGGGCGGGGACGATCCTGGCCTGGTAGCCCTGCCAAGTGACTGCAGCAGGGCGGGAGTGGAAGCAGGCTGGCCCAATGTTGGGCTCATGACTGTTTGACATCTAAGGGGAATTCTCCCTTTCATCTTTCACTTTCAAGTTCTGCTCTTCTATACATAAAAGAGCATGGGGTTCCCTCCTAACCATGTGGCAGGCCCGGTGTCCAGCACTGGAGATCTCATGATGTGAAGGTGCAAGAGAAGCCCGACCCCTCAGACGGAGGCCTCGGTGCTCCGACCTTGGCACCAGAGTGTCCACACTTGCACTCATACTGGCTGCCGGAGGAAGCCCGACCCCTCAGACGGAGGCCTCGGTGC